ACAAGGGACAAAGAGAAAAAGGGCCAAGACTTTGATTTCAGGGTGGGTCAGATTCCGCATTGTCACTTAAAGGAAGGAGAGAAGCCCCACTCTCATGCCTTGAAGAAAGGAGAGATGGATGAATTTGGAGGGTGGAGAAAGGCTGAATTCTGATGAATGTGCAGATACATACAGTAAAAGGAATTAGAAAGCCAGACACACAGGTTCTTAAGGCAGGCTGGAGAAGCAGGGGAGCCCTCGGGAGAGTGGCCAGAGACAGGCAGACCAAAGGACTGGAGGAAGAAAGTCCAGGCTGGGCACTGCCTCCGGGCCTGGAAGCTGGGATGAAATGCAGAGGCAGAGAGAAGCATCACAGGAGGCCCCAAAGCATCCGTCCGTGTATCCGTCTCTCTGCCCACCCATCCACTCGTTTATTTGTCCATACATCTCTCCGTTCATTAGTTCATCCATCTGCTCATTCTTCCACCCCTGCATTCCACAAATGTGCTGAGTGATCACTATGAGGCAGGTTCTGTGCAGAGGGGTTGATTTCTGGTTCAAGATGGAGAAGACAGGAGATTGAGCAACTGTCTCATATACTCTGTGCAAGAATTGAAGGGACCACAGCAAGCTGTTAATGGTGATGGGTGGAACAGAGCCGGGGAGTGTGCAGTTACACCCAGGAAGCAGGAGGGGTACAAAGGATTGGTCCCTCTGTGCTTCTGTTTTCTGTAATGCTGCTATGCCTCTCTATCCTAAGGGAAAGGAGAAAGGTGGCCTGAATTATAAATACTGACATGGAAGACAGGAGTACATTCACATATGCCCATGCAAATACACATGAAAAATGAATACGGTACACATTTTTAACCATGCACAGTGGTAAGTGTTCCTAGAGAGTTGGGTGGGAACCAGCCTCTCTCTTCTTCACTATGGGGAAAGATGCAGAGGAACAGACTGCATCAGTCAGCTTGGGATGCCATAACAAAATTCTACAGACTAGGTGGCATAAACAACAGAAATATATTTTCTTGGAGTTCTGCAGGCTGGATATCCTAGGTCAAGGTGTCATCAGTAGGTCTGGCTTCTCTGGAGGCCTCCTCCTTTGGTTGGAGATGGCCACCTTCTCACTGTGTCCTTACATGTGTGCATTTTCCTGGTGGCTTTATGTGTGTTCAAATTTCTCTTTCCTATAAAGATTCCAGTCAGATTGTGTAGTGGATTGAATTATGTCCCTCAAAACTCCCTGAAGCTTGAATTGTGTCCCCCAAGTTTTATGTATTAGAAACTTAGCCCCCACTGTGACTGTTAAGATGGTGGGAAATCCTATTATTGGTAATTGAAAGGTGGAGCCTTGAAGAGGTGATTGGATTGTAGGACCGTGCAGTAGTGAATGCATTTAAAATGGTGGCCAGGGGTGTGGTTCTGAGGGCTTTAAAAGAAGAGAGTCTGTCTCTTTCTCTCTGCTCTCCCTGCTTCCACCATCTTCTAATCTGAGACTCCTGAGTCACTGTCACCACCACTAGATGGACTTTGGACTTCCCAGCCTCAGAACCCATAAGCAATAAATGTCGTTTTTCTTTATAAATCACCCAGTCTCAGATATTTTGTTATAAGCAACAAAAACAGACTAATACGGATTGGATTAGGACACAGTCTAATGACCTCATTTTAACTCAATCGCCTCTTTGAAGGCCCTGTCCCCAAATGCAGTCACATTCTGAGGTCCTGGGGGTTAAGGCTTAAACATACGAATTTTGGGGGACATAATTCAGCTCGTAACACAGAGGATAGTTTTAAAAACAACAACAAAAGAACACAGCAATCACAAAGTACACAGTTTTCATGGGCTCCTAGACAGAAGGTTCGGCACATCTCTCCTGGGAGCTGAGCCAGAATGCAACGGAAGCACATCAGGAGGCAGGTATGGAAATGCAAGCTCATAGTCTGACAAACTCTAACTGTGATGAGCTGGGGCCGTCTCTAGGAAATGACCCCATGATGTCTCTCTGGGGCTTGGGAAGCTGGCAGCCTGCCAGGCACATCTCAGAGACTGTCTTCGTTATTAAACAATGTCTTGATGCTCTCCATTCTCACCTGGTTCTTCCACGGCTGCAGTGAATTAGGGTCTTCTCACTGCAGTAAACATTCTATCAACCCCAAAGGGGGAATAGTGGCACCCGATGAGGTGGGCAGGTCCACCTCACCTGTCCCCTGTCTCCTGTGTAACAGTCCAGGTGATGGCAGGCCCCTTGGGCAGGTGTGCAGTCTGCACCTGGGTAGGGGTCATTGATCCCTGAAGGGGCATCTCTGACCAGCAGCAGGGTCAGGAGGGCGCAGTGCGAGCATGGTAGGTCCCATGACTAACGCACCTTCTGGTAGGGGAAGAAGAAAATGGGACTGCCAGATGTTGCATCGCAGTTCCAGTGATACAACCACTTCCTTGGTCAGCAGCCATTTGCCTGACTGCTCTCTCCACAGCCATGTGTATGGGTTGGCTGGCCCTTGCTCTCCTGTCTGTGCTCAGCATGGGCCAGCCCATGGCCTTCAACAGCCAGCTTGTCAAGTGCTTGGAGCATCTCCAACATGAAGAATTAGTTCAGCTAGCCCAGAACAGGCTGGGGCAGACAGCAGAAAGGAAACAAATAGTAGTGATTGGGGCAGGGATGGCTGGGCTCACCGCCGCCAAGACCCTGCAGGATGCTGGCCACCAGGTACACAATGGGACTTAGGCTTTGAGTTGGGAGGTGGGAGAGTGGGCAGTAGATGGCCCTAGAGAGCTGGGGATGAGGGCTAGGTCGAGCGCTCTAGGCTGGGGTAGAAGGGATAGAAGACCCAGGCGGTCTAATTCCATAAGGGAGGGAGATCTTGGGAAGAGGCCCAAAGGGTTGTGGATCTGAGCCTGCCAGAGGGGAAGAGGAGGGTGTGATGTGGAGGGATCATGGCCAACCCGTTAAGTCTAGGAAAGGGCTATCTTTCTAGGTGACTGTCCTGGAGGCCCCAGGGCATGTGGGTGGAAGAATAGAGACCCACAGAGTGCCTGGAGCACAGTGGGACATAGAGCTGGGTGCCATGAGGATCCCTGTCAACCACAGGTATGGTCAAGAGAAGCGGGGGAAGGTGAGGGAGGGTGGGGTGTGGGCGGTCGGCACCAAGGATGAGAAACAGAGGTGGGTAGAGTCCTTTACTGGAAGCCAGAGGGCTGGAATCTGATCCAACTCATTTCACAGCTCTCCTGGCTGTGGATTAATGTTTTAATCCACATAATTGGCATAACCACACCTGCCTTGACTACCTAGGAGGCTGTACTGAGGATCACAAAAGATAATGAAGAAGGGAGAGCACCTTGGAAAGTCAGAGCAGTTTGCTAGGTTTGCTAATGACATAAATATGAGTATTGTTCCTAGAAGGTGTGGTGTCTCACGGAAGCCCCAGAATCCAGGGGGGCCATCCTGAAGGGGTGAGTGGGGGTTTGAGGATGCAGACTGGAGGCTTGGGAACAGTGCACGTGGCCTCGGGAGAGGATGAGCCCGGAGCACCCTCCCCAGGCCTCCTTCATGCCACCTCCAGGACCTGGAGTAGACACACCTGAAGTCCTGAAGGCCACAGTTCTCAGGCAAAGTGAGAGAGATCTCAGCCAGTGCAGAAGGCCAGCCTGGTGTGGTGTGACCACAAGAATGGTGGCTCAATTCCCTCCTGGTCCCACTGCCATTAATCTGGTTTGGTGACCAGGAGGCTTGCCATCCCTTCTGTGATGGGAGGCCAGAGGTGGCCCTAGAGAATCTGTGGGGGGCAGGACGTGAGTGCAGGGAAGCCTGGCTGCTTTCTTATTCTGGCTAGAGTAGTCTTTGACTCACCCCACAGGCTCTCCCATGAGTTCATCAGGAAGTTTGGGCTGAACCTCAAGGAGTTCTGCCCTTACAACAACCAGACCAGGATGCTGATCAATGGGGTGCAGCAGCTCACGGGGGATGTGCAGTCCAATCCCAGCCTTCTGGGCTACCCAGTCAGGGCAGATGAGGTGGGGAAGACAGCAGAACGTCTCTTCAATAAGTCACTGTGGAAGGTAAGCCGAGGTGGGGAGCAGGGTGATTCTGATGCAGGTTGCCAACAGTTTTGGGTCATCTCAGGCAAACTTCCCCAAGTTTTTCTGATTCCTTAAGTGAATTGGAAGGATTTCTGCCCCAGACCCCAGGCCCATGCACAGGAGGGCTCGCCAGCCTGGCCTTTGTCTGCCCTGCCTTACCCTCACAGCCGCTTCCCATCTCAGCCACATGCTCAGCAGTCATTGTGCACTCTCAGATCCCAGACATTTCCACATGTGCTTGAGCAGAAAGCAAATCAGTTGCCATTGTAATCATCATGGGCAGATCCAGGGTAAAGCAGAGAGAGACCCACAGCTGAACTCTGGATTTGAATGTGCTGTGTGACCCTGGGCAAGACACTTGCCATCTCTGTGCTCCAGTTTCTGTAAAATGACCATAGTACTGGAGCCTGTCTCCTGGATTGATTGTGAGATTAAGTGAAAGGATGCATGTACATACAGTGATCAGAACTGTGCCAGCCACATAGCCAGTGCCAGAATTATAGTCATCTTTATAGATATGTGGTCAAAGAGGAGAAACAATGCTGGTTCCTGCCTACAACACCTGTCCACCTTTTTCTGTCTGGCCTGTTGTATTAGTCCATTCCTATTGCTTATAATAAAATACCTGAAATGGGGTAATTTATAAAGAAAAACGATATTTATTGCTTACAGTTTCTGAGGCTCAGAAGTCCAAAGTCCATATGGTGGTGACGACAATGACCGAGGGGTCTCACATTGCAAGATGGTGGAAGCGGAGAGAACAGAGAGAGAGACAGACAGACAGACTCTCCTCTTCTTTTAAAGCCTCAGAACCACACCCCTGACCACCATTTTTAATGCATTCACTACTGCAGGGTCCTACAGTCCAATCATCTCTTCAAGGCTCCACCTTTCAATTACCATAATAGGATTTCCCACCCTCTTAACAGTCACAGTGGGGGCCAAGTTTCTAATACATAAAACTTGGGGGACATAACTCAAGCTTCAAGGATTTTGCGGGGGACATAATTCAATCCACTATACCCAGGTTTACCCAGCTTTGACAGTGCCTTTGTATTTCCTGACCCCTGGCCCAAGGGGATCTTGGCGTGACGGCCTGACTCGTGGGACAGACACTGCTCATGGGAGGCCTCTGCCCAAGTGTCCTACCTTTGCTGAAGTGTTGTCCTGCTTCGGCTCAGCGTAAGTGTGCCCAGCTCCTGGACTCTGGTCCAGCCTCACTCAAAGCCCTCCAGCACCCATGACATTCACAATGGCCTCAGAGGCATACAGAAATGTCCCCATACAGGACAAGGGGGTAAACTTCCCACCTCTGGGAGCTCCAAGGCCGATGCGGAGCCCTTGTTCCTACTTTTACATACCCTGAAGTATGTCTAAGGGCGGAAGTGAAGTTTCCATTATGGGAGACGCCAGTCTGGTTGTGGGACACATTCCTGAAGCCCAGGACTCATATAAAGCAAGCCTCAGACACACACAAGGAGAAGAGAGTGAACAAATGACCATGGAACATGGGGGCTGGATGGGGCAGGGTCAAGGGCCTGTACCAAGCAGACCTTCACCAACACACCCTTCTCCCCTCCTTCCTTTATGCCCAGGTGGTGGAGGAGCTGGAGAGGAGCAGCTGCAGCCGGGTGCTGAAGAAGTACGACTCCTACTCCACCATGGCCAGGCCCAGCATCCCCGATTCTTGCTGCTCACATCCCACCCTGTCACAGCTCCCCAGAAACTGTGGCAGAACCATCACCCCCTTCCCAGACTTGTAGCAGGAGAGGGGATGTTCAGCCTTAGACTTGCCCTCCCTGCACACAGATGTCCTCCTAGGTCCACTCCAAACCTTCCCATGGCTCGTGGTTCCCCAAGAAGGAAGAGTCCTCTGTTGCTTATCTGCACGTCTTGCTATTTATTAACTATGCCATCGAGAAAACTCTCAGGGCCTTTAAACTGGCTGTTTCATGTGTCTGGATGCTCTTCCACACATGTACACATGGCTCACCCCTTACCTTCTTCAGGTCTTGGTTCAAATGTCTCCTTGGAATTGAGACAATTCCCTCCTTCTCCACCTGAAAGTCACTTCCTATTTGCCCTTCCCTGATTTATTTTCCACCAAAATATCATATCATACTGTAAGGAAGGAAGGAGGGAAGAATGAGAAGTAGGAAGGGAAGAAGAGAGTAAGAAAAGGAAGGAAATAAACAAAGATAATCCACCGAAAGGAAAGTAACCAAAGACTATTTATTCACAGTTTGCTATATCAAGGGAGTCAACCACCACCACTTGCATTTGGCAGAAGCTCAAAGGCAGGAAAAGGTGTGGGAAAGTCTTGTATACATATAGTGGAAAACAGGGAAGGTTTCTGATGGGCACTGTTCGGAGGCTGTTGGCGTAGGGAAACTGGAGGCAGCTAACTAGAAGGGTGGGCACCTGTGTCATTGGCTAGGGGAGGATATTTGGGTTTCTCTGGTTGGTTCTGAGTTGGAAGCTGAGCAGAGGAGGGAGTGCAAAAATAGGGAAGCTGATAGTCATTGACCAAGACCTAGGTTGATTGCTGCTAGGTTGTGATTTGGCTTCCTAGGCTGTTTGCTTTTTCAAAGGTTGTAGGTCAAAGTCCTATTGTCATATGTGGTCTGGCTATTGTATACTCAATGTTCAAAAGGCAGGGAGGGAGGGATTGGTGAAAAAGATGAGCCAGAGATGATCCCCAGTGCCCCGTTCCCCACCATCCATCCCCTGCAACTAATTTCCTCACAGAGAAGCTGACCAACTTCTCTGGGTCCAAATTGTCGAAGTTAAAGGTCTTATTGACCAGTATGTGTCTGAGCACTTTCTGACATTGCTGTCCCTGAGATTATGGGGTCCTGCAGTCTCATGTCTGGTTTAAACAAGCATGTTTATAAAAGGCATTTTGCCCAGGCATATGTTAGGATGGCAGGGCCCAGCCATCCTGATGGCCCCTTTCAGGCCTACTCCCCAGATGCCCAGCCTCCAGGCCTGCCTACACTGGTGACAAGGGGACTAAATTGGCCATCGACACCCCTCAGCCCTAGCTGGACCAGATGGTCAGACACCCTAACCAGTGAAGATCTTCCAGGCAGCGCTGTTATATCCTCCCTAGCTTTGCCTGAGAGAAGGGAGCAGGGGCAAAGCACAGGGTACAATCACTGATCAATGGGTGCATCAGAAGCAGAACCTCACAATCACTTGCTGGAGGGGTGGCCGGGACAGTGGGATGGTAGGGGTAGATGTAGGGAGTCAGAGCAGAGTGAAAAGAAACACTCACTACCCAGATTCCTCCTGGGTTGGCATTACGAGGCAGGTCAGAGAAGCCAGGCCGGGGCTAATATACGTGCAGGTGGACATGAAGACAGAGCCTCACTTTCCCCATCTGTAAAACAGGAGTTCTCAGGATTATATATGAGGATTATACAAGTGAAGGGCTCAGAAGAGTGTCTGTAGGTGGAAAGTGACCCTGAGTAGTGGCTATTTTCTGCATTATTAGGACCAGGGAGCATTTCAAGCACCATCTTCAGAGCTCTGAGTGCAAGGTAGTCCCTCGGCAGTCCCTAGGGGCCCAGCTGAGGGCACATTCCACCCTGTCCATTTCTGTTCCTCCCTGTCCTGGGGTGGGAAGCAGGAACTCTCATGTTGGCTCCCTGGACATTCTGACCTACCTACCTTCTCTCCTTGCACATGGTTGCAGGAGCACCCGATCAAGGTGGGGAACCTGAGCCTTGGGGCTGTGCCGATAGATGATCGGGGACCTGTTGAATGCAGATGCTGGCTACTATGAAGCCTTTATAGAAACTTTGCATGACAGCATCTCCTCCTTCCAGGAGCCCTGGTGGGTAATGAGGTGGGTAGCATGGGTTGACCAGTTACCAATGAGAACAGTGGTAGAAAGAAAAAACTAGATAAATCAGGTGAAAATCCCAAAGGAAATGGGAGTGAGGGATGGGGGAGGCAGGGGGTTCCAAATTCCAGTGAGACTCAGAATCACTGGAGGTGGAAGGGTGCTTATTAAACACAGATGGCTGGACCTTCCCCACAGAGTCAGTAGATCTGACAGAGTGATGCATTTCTGACATATTCCCAGTGAGGCTGCTGCTGCCTTTCTAGGCACCCCACTTTGAGAACCACTGACTAAGGGGATATCGAGAGGCTACAGATCTGCTCTGCTTTGGGCCTCACCTGTTCTGTTACACAGACTGTCACCTTAGCTCTGCTTCAGGGGTCCATGCAGGGGGCACTTGTTAACTTCCAGCCCAGGAAGTTGTATCAGGGGCACCTAACACACACCCTGTCCATCAAACCCCTAGTCACTGACCATGCAATCTCTGGCTACAAAAATAAACTAAACTGGGATTTACTTTCACTCAGAGTTCTGTGACGGGATTCAGACACAACAGACTACAGACATTTACAAGAGGGCAACTGAGCTGGTGAGCCCTGATAGATTTAGTGATTTGAGCATCCAGGCCTCTTCGTTCCCCAGTTGCTTCCTTCTACTTCTCCCCAGCCTTTTTTCTCAGGGTGAATCAGTTCAAATTCAAGCCAAGAGTTGCCACAGAGGGAGAATGGAAAACAAGGGGGTTTTAAGACTAACCAAGTGGGGGATAATAATGCTAAGACTGCATTCTTTGAGGGCCACCCAGTGTTGGGCTCTCTCTAGGGGCATTATGGAAGGGGCTGAGCATGCCCGTAAAAGCCCATGTTCTCTATCAGCCCCGAGGCCAGGCATTCTGCATGGAGGTGGCCACTGAGGGGAAAGAAGGGGTTGGGCATGCTCACGGGGGATGCATTTTTCTGATTGTCAGCCCAAATCTATGCCTTTTCCTAGTTTCCTGGAGCTAAGGGCCACCCTGAGTGGGTGGCCCAATGCTTATCTCCCTTGCACACATGCAAGACTACTAGACACAATAGCAAGACTATTAGAAGACTCAGCCACTGCCCAGTCCAAAGGACCAATCCTCTGCATGGCCTTGTGCATCAACCGGCTTCTTTCTCCTTCCTTTGCCTGCTCAATCTCAGGTTTGATGAAATCACTGGGGGCTTTGACCAGCTCCCCCAGGCCCTGCACGATGCCTTTTTGATGGGGACAGTCCACCTCCATTCACCAGCAGAGGAATTGGAGACATCTGGAGACCGCATCCACATCATTCACCAAACACCCGATCCTCTGCAGCCCCGGGCTCGTCCGACCGCCGATTGTGCGGTGGTGGACAGCACAGCCAAGGCTGCCTGGCTTCTCTGTTTTCAGCTGCCTCTCTCCCCAGACAAGGAGGATGTATTGCATTCTGTCCACTACAGCAGCACCACCGAAGTGATCCTGGCCTGCATGCAGCGTTTCTGGAAATGCAACAGCATCTTCGGTGGCAAGTCCAGCACCGACTGGCCTTCCCATCTACTACCCCAATCACATCTTCCCCAATGGCATAGGGGTCATCCTGGCCTTCTATACTGTGGATGGTGACTCCATGTTTTTTGCTGCCATGGACCATGCCCAGGTGGTGGATGTCATCCTGGATGACCTGGCCGCTGTCCATGACCACCCCAAAGAGGAGCTCCGGGCCTTGTGCCCCTACTCCAAGATCAAGCACTGGAGCCAGCACCCTTATTTCATGGGCGGCTTCACCTTCTTCACCCCCTGCCAATATATAGACTATGCCCAGGAGCTCTGCTGGCCAGAAGGGTGGGTCCACTTTGCTGGTGAGCACACTGCCCTGCCCCATGGCTGGATTGACACGGCCATCAAATCAGGGCTCAGAGCCGCTAGGAGCATCCAAGAGGCCATGGGCTTGGCTTTGACAAAGGACCCCAGGGATCCAATAAAGCCCCGCTCCAAAAGTGTCCTATAGCCAACTTCATGACACCCAGTTCCACCAGGAAAAGACTGAAAACTCACCATCTCACTTTATCTCCATCCTTACCCAAAGACGCCAGTCCAAGAGGTGCCACCCAAGTCCAAGAAAAGCAGTTCCTTGAACATTTGGCCACCTATGACCTTGGATTTATTAGCAATGTCTCAACAACAACAAGATGTCATAGAGTGATTAAAACAATAAAGTGCATGTTACATTTAAGCCTATCCCTAAGTGTTTTATGTATATTCTAGGTGGCACTGAATAATTTTATTGTTGAGTGTTGAGGGCTAGAGAGGCCCTTGCCTTCCAAGGCCCTCTGGGATCCCTCCATCTTCTATGATTCCTTTAATCTGGGTCTAGCTCTAGCTCCCCTCGCTACCTCCACTCCTCCGTCTCCCATGACTGTGAATTTTAAGAGAAGTTGGGTACATAGGAACTTATAGAGAGGAAATCGTGTGGCTAGCAACACACTCAATACTTCCCATGTTATCACAGCAATCCCTGGTGTACATATTCTAAAATTACTTTATGTTACATGAGAAAAACTGATTCTCAAAGAGGTTAAATATTTGCCTGAGATCACAAATGCTGGTCCAAATTGGTCAAAATCTTCACCTAACTTCAGATAAAACTGCAAATCCTCTTGCTTATT